AGGCCCTTAAAAATAAATAAAACAAAGAACTCCTTAATGGTGTTCTTTATTACATACATTTCCCTGATTCAACCGTTTTTTAAAGAATAATCACCCAAAGTAAAAGTGGTTGGTTTTTTTTTAAACGAAGGGAGATTTTTGTACCCAGCTTTCAGAAACATAGGTTCTTTTTCAGGCATTTCTTACACAGATTATTTGCTTGTGCAGATGTCAAGCTAGGGAAGGAGAATTTCACAGCTGCAAGAAAGTCCATTGGCCAAATCTCAGACAGCTTCCACAGAAACCTGTGATGTATTTGTTTTTAACTGTTTAAACAACCATTTACACCATTGCTCTCCATTCTTCCCTTAGCAAGCAAACAATGACTGTTGGCTCTTCTATTCTATATTACTTACACAGCTATACTTATGAAGTTAAAAGGCGGTTGCTGTTGGGTGGAGTTGACCACTGGTCCCTGAATTCATACATTTTTCTTCACAACTCTAGACGTGGATTGTTATTGCCTAATTCCAGGATGTTTTTGAACTTCTGGTCTAGCCTATAGCCCTGGAATTTGCTGCTCGCTTTTCCTTATCCAATTACTGTTCAGATCCTTCTTGATTTCCTATAATCAGCCATGGCCAGCTAGAGGCTAACATCTGCTGAGGCTTAAGATGGCCCCAAATATGGTACTTTACAGCAGACAGTACTTTGCTGGTGGCTCCCCTTTACGGAGCATGCTCAAGCAGAAGGTGGGCCATGAGGATTTGCTGGACCTCAACATTCCTTTTGAATATGATGGGTCAATCCTTTGAAAAGTTGTCCAAGGGCAGCTTCGTATTTGAAAGCGTCTTCTCCATGAAGTCATTATCTCTTTGAACAGCTGTTTCATCCATTATAGAAAGCCCATCCACACTTAACACCTGGAGAGCAGACTCAGCAAAAAGCAAACAACTCAATTGTTTGCAGGCTTCTTTCTTCTACAACCATTATTTCTAAGGATGTATTTATAAACACAAAATGTAGCCTATGTAATTACCTTGCTTGGTCTTCTTTGGGGACAATGTGATTCCTTTTATTTTGGCAGTGAAGGAATCATGCATAGTTCCAAACATGCTTTCCTTGGTATTTGACTTGCATAAATAAGATAACACATTAGCATCACTTCTCTCACCATCTTAGGAAGATCAATGCCATTTCTCAGGGAAGACGTAGCACAGAAAGGAAGAGAGGTGCTATTTTGAAAACCAACCAGGGACATGGCCTTTATGGGTTAGAAACCAACTTCTTTTTTAAAAGAACTGGGGCTTGGTTCAATTATAGCAGAAGACTTGGTTGGGTTTCCTCCCCTTTGTTGCATAATTGCTTCCCCATTGAAAAATTAATGTGTTCTTTGCTTTTGCTTGTTCGGAGGCAGTTTACTGCTGTGTTGCAGGTTAACAATATTAAACATTTCCTAATGACAGTTCAGTAAAGCAGAGTTGGGGAGTTCCTGCTTATTACTTTTTTTTTTTCTGAGAGACAAGGCCAAGAATATAGGTAATCAAATGTGTATTAGCCAAAACACTCTGGAGAAAGCATCTAATATATGGAACGGAAAAAACACACACACACAGCCCCAAAACTGTATGGAGGGTTGTTCTGTTTTTGATTTAGCAAAGCACAGCACTGAGAGCAGCATAGAAAACGCAGAGCAAGAGGTCCAGGCAGGCTGGACTGTTTCCAGCTCCCAAGCTTCTTGGGAGAGAAAGAACCTTTCTGCAGGTGTGAAGTTTAGTTAGGGTTAAGCAAAAGAGGGGAAGGAGAGGTGATGGCTAGGTTTTGACAACTGACCCAGACTCAGCCAGCTGGCTAGAGCAGAGGTTGGTCATACAAAGTCCGTAAGGTTCCATTTACTCATAGACGGTTCTTTTGGCACCCATGGGGTTCCTTGAGTAGTTAAATGTATTTTTTAAAGCTGGCTAAATAAATGAGAAACTGGACTGCTGAAGAGTACCCACTTCATCTGTATTTTCAAAAATGTTTCTGCTATCCTGGAAGCTCCATGGAAATTAAAATGATGGATGCCTGAAACCCAAAACATTGTTTGAAGTTGGGGTCCCCTGACCCCAAAAGCAAGAAAGATAAGCTGCAGTAGAGGGTATCCTTGGGGGATAGAGGGGGTTGGAAGAAGCACACTTCACCCCACTTTCTAGCAAATGGGCATTTTGTGACTGGTCACAGGCCTCCCTCTCAAACCACCATTTTATATGAGCATCCACAGCACACTCTCAAAATCTCAACTATGCCCACTAGCCCCCAAACACTGCCTAATCTAGAAGCTAAAGAAACAGAAAAGAAACAGAAAGATGAACAATTTGTGGCACAGTGAACTCAGCTACTCAACTAACTCACGTGGCATTGAGAATTTTGAAGGTGAAGATGGAAACGAAGAGAGTCACTTCCAATGCGCACATACGTATATGGGAATTTTGGGTACTTGAGTATCTTGAAATTAATTTTTGATAAAACATGTGGCAGCGATAGCAAAGAAACCGAGGGGCTGTATCCGCACCCACCCACACTGTCCTGCCCATGTTAGCTTTACCAGAAGAGTGGAAATAATAAGATCCAAGCGTGAGATCAGATCTCTACAGATTCTTAAACTGCTGCATTTTAAAAATACATATATAAACACAATCTCTTTTGACATCTAAATTTAACCTAATTAAAAGCTGCAGGGTACTTATAAGCCTCTTATAACAGTTTTTGCACTGTGGTTTCTCTATGCGGGTGTAGGTGGCTGCCTTTGAGAACATGACTAGGGAGAGAAAGTGGGGTGGGGTGGGACAGAAGGAGAATAAAGACATTTTACTGAGGACCTTAATTCCCTGGTGGCAGTCTTGGCAGTCCCATACAAATAAAACAGACAATGATTGGTCTACTCCTGGCATATTCATAGATAGCTTGATTTGAAGGAGAAAAAGCTTTAGGAGAAATAACAAGGTGCTGTGTTCCTTCTTTTTCTTTTGAAGACATGATGTTGTTACTTGAATCTGCAGTTTGCACTGAACGTTTAATTTACAGAGTAATTAAAATCATTGCCACGTTCATCCTCTGCAATTAGGTGAAACAAGTCGCTGGTATTTGACACAGTAAGAACAAAGACAGCCTTGCTTCAAATGATATATCCACTGAAGGGTTGGGATTTCAATCCTCCCAGACCCATCCTGGATCTCAGCTCCTGTTCTTGTACATGGGAATAACAGTCACAGGCAGAAAAAAGGCCAACCCAATTGGAAAATGTGCAAGTTATCCAAATATTGAAAGTAGAAGATCCCAAGACCAAACATAAATTACATATATTGCATACCACTCTGGGTGGGCTAAGATAATTCTCTAGGAACGCATGGTTTTCCACAGGAGAAATCTGTAGGATGCTGAATCACATTCCTCTCTGACATTCCTTTCTTAACGTATTGGCACTTTCCCCACCTTCTTTTTCTGAGGCTGTTTTTTATTGCTTGAAAAGGACTTTAGAAATCGGGCGGGGAGCTACCTGGAGTTCTAAAAGTCATAATCGCCAGGCCAGATCTTCTGGAGACCAAAGAAGTGTCTAAAACCATAGATAGCTGTGTGACCCTCCTGAAACACCCAGAATCTATCATCAAAATGAGTTTTTTTTTTTTTTAAAAAGTGTTTTTCACTCACAATGCATTGTTTACACATCATGTTACGATATCCCTTGTTTTAACAACAGTTTAATTAGAAATCCAGAGTGTCCCTTGGTCACTGTCTATATCCTTCTGTTTTCAACTGTTCTTTCCTCACCTTGCAAAACATGATGCAGATGTTCTATAAACGAAGAAGGAACCCCAAAAATTACAAACAATGCATGCATCTTCATTTGCACATCACACTAACACCAGGATCACTGCAACTGATAGGCCAACCCACAACATCAACAATGAAAAATCACCCATTCAAACTGTAGTGTACTACCCCAAATTCATGGTTTATTCACTGACCCCTGTTCGCACATCACACTAAGCCAAAAATAAACCAGTCACATTTATTACTTAGCCCAGCATGCAGTCAGCAATCTGGAACATGGATAGTCTTCCTTGCTGTTTTAAATGAAACCATAAAATTCAAATTCCTTTATGTGAGGCGTAGTTGGAAGATCAAAAACTCTGGCTGGGGAGGTAGGTGGAATTACATTGAACGAAACTGTACTTTTCTCATTACCTGGAAAGTTTTCAAAAGCAAGAGGGGGACAGAAACTTATAAAGTGAGAAATCCTTCCAACCTCTGTCAAGAAATGTGAGGAAGTATTGTAAAAATTAAGGGAAAACAAAACGCCATGCCCTCTCTTTACCACTGTGATTATTTTACCTCCTGCAGATTTTGATCCTGCTTACTATGCTGTTCTCTACACACACACACACACACACAAACACACACACACAATATGCTTAATTGGTTTGTATATTGTCCAGAGAACTATGGTTATAGAGGGAGGTCTACCAGTACAATAAATTATTGATTGCCTGGCTCAGAGGAGGGGGAAGCCACTGTTTATTCACTGATTTCATTTGCATATCACTCTTTTCCAAAAACAAATCCTCAGCTTTATAACTGAGCACAATCGGGGCTCCCTCACCCGACTTTTCTTGGGATTTTGCAGATCCTTCACATGTTTTTTAGCTGGCGTTTGCCACACCAGCAGAATTCACCCTGCAGAGCTACAGTGCTCTGAAATACGTACAGCCATTAAAAGAGTGTTGCATTTACATATATATGTTAAAACGTATTTACAGACAAATGGAAATTTGGAAAGGGGCCACTCAGATCTCCTTGAGCAGAGTATGGATTCTAGGCAGGCTCTGCAAACCAATGACTGAACACGTCCAAACTCCACTGTATTTATTTAATAGGAAAACTGCCCACTCAACATACTGCCTTCCTGCTCCTCTTCCTGAACCACCAAGATGGTCCTGCATTCAGCCCAAGACAGGAATGGGAAACCAAAGTCAACGAACCTTTCTTTTCATAGACAAGCTTCTCTCCACTCCTGCCCGAGCTGTCCAGCGGCACCCCGGTCTGACTCCCAAACTCGCCGTCTCTGTAGCCGTGCTCCGGATGCAAAGGGTTCTCCTCCTCTTCGTAGTCATAGTCATCCAAGATGGGGGTCTCACGGATGGGCATGCCGATGACTGAGGTGTGACCCTGAAGCCGTGAGCTCCGAAAGCTCTCCCTGCCTTGGGGCCCCATAAGTACAGAGGGAATGTAATGGATTTCATGGGTGGCCTCAGAACTGGCACTCTTTTGGGGGACCCGGCGTTGCTTGTACCAACGCCGCTGGGCATACAAGGCGATGGTGAACACGAGCAGCAGCAAGAGGAGAGCGATCAGTCCACCCTAAAGGAAACAAAAGACAGAAAAGAGGATTTCAATAGCATTCTTCATATTTGCCGTCAGTCCCAAATCAGTATTGTTTGGAAAGCATTTCTCCTCCTATAAAAACAACGGGTCCACCTTTGGTTTCAGAAACTGATCCTTCGGTTACCCACCCATTGCTCAAGCATGGATCACACCCAGTCCAAAGGATGATAAATACATAGGCAAACAGGAGATAACCTTTGGTGGCATTTTGGAGAGGGTCGTTGTAATCTAGTTTTCATGCAGAATTGTCCAAGGAGAAGAGGCCAGATGGAAAAAGGGGGAAAAGAAAGGGATAATCTGAGAAAGGCTTTATTTGGCCATGTGGCATTCCAAAATGGATTATTTACATCTCTCAACTCCTTTCACCCACAAAAAAAGAGTAGAAAAGGTTCAGAGAGAAAGGCCATGCCCTGGAGAAATTTAGCATTCTTGGAGTGGATTTATAAGACTCTGTTCTGCGCTGATAAGGACATGGCCCTTTAATTCTCCAGGTTTGAGCCTGCTTATTTTCCTACATAATAGGCTTCTAAAAATGCCACACTCGGTGGTACCCCCAAAATACCAGCACCAGAAGCAGAAGACCAAGTGCAGAGATTTGAAAAGGAACTTGCTCCAAGCTTGTGTTTAGAATTCAGACTGTCCTGCTGAGGAGTGGTTAGAACGTGCTTACTGGGTCCAAATTAAATCTTTCTTTGCAAACCACACTCAGTACAGGCACACTGGTGGTTGCAAAAGCAAGCCTTTGAAAACTGCATTGGGTTTCTCAGTCCCATGGTTTGAACTTCTTCGTTTCGTGTTCATATTTGTATTCTCCAAAACCCTCTCCATTAATGTTGAGAGAGCAGCAGGCAGAATAATAACAAGAACACCAAAATAAAAATAACAGTGCAATAACAAAAATAACCCCAAGGGGCATATTATTTTGATTTTTCTCAGAGGCCAACATAGATATCCTTGTGTGTGCTCTTTGTTTTTAATACTAGCGAGCCTTTAGAAACTCTGAACATCCGACAGGGTTTGTTGTAAACAAAATCCTCATTACTGTCTAGTATTTCATTACAGTACTGTGAAACTAACAGTTTTAATCTCCCAAAATTTATGGCCAGCCTTATACAGATTCAGAGAAGAATATAATAATGCCTAATGATATGTGTGGATTTAGCAGACAGATATAGATAAAGCGGAATTCTGTATTTTTGATTAAGCATCTTTGATTAAGAATCTTTGATTTAGAATCGCGTGTGCCCACTTTTAAAACCCACTTCCTTCCAAAAACTGGAGGTGAAAGGGGATTTAAGCTCTTTTAATCAGAGGACCATGATTCAGACAGGTGCCCAAGAAATCAGCTTATTTTGCAAAAAAAAAAATCTATATTATGTATGTCTCTATTAGGTACTATGCCAACCGTATACACAAAGAGCATAAATTTAATAGCAGATACAAGCCCTTCCAAGATATAGAGTATGCACAAGGGGGCAGAATTACAACTGCTGTGGGAACTCTTGAAAGTCTTAGACTTCCTGTGAATAAAAAATAATCACAGAGGGAGAAAAAAAAGGTCAATTTCCATATAGCTTCATCTTAAAACTGAATTTCATTTTCAGGAAGACAGAACAGCAATCTTAACAAGAAGATAACCCGTCTGACTAAAATATGCAAGTCCATGTTCTACAAAGTGCTTATTTGAAAGATTTGAAGGCAAGGTTTGCAAAGCAGGTTCACATTATGAAGCTTACAAAGAAGTGGGGAAATGAAGGAGTTAGCTAGAGAAAGTAACTTGCTATTCCTTGGAGGAAGGTTAACCACCCAGAGGTCTACTTGAGGTTCTAGAACTTAGGTTTCTCCAAGTATCCTTGTGGTTTATGAACAAATTGCTTAGGGAAGGAGGCTGTGTGTGGACAATTGTAATGAAATACATTCATCCTTTATTGAAAGCTTTGGATAAAAATGTACATGCATATACAGATGAATGAGATGCCTATATTCCTTTTCTCTTTCTTTTTCCTGTTTGTTATGTTTAATTAAAAGGGAAAGGGAAAGAAAAGGGAATTATTTATATATATATAAACATCAGGAACAACATTGGAGCTCTCTGTCCAGAAGAGTGCAGTGCTAGGATCAGCTAAGATACTGCGCAGGACCCTCAAACTCCCAGGCCTCTGGTAGAGGATCCGAGATTGAGAAAGACACAGATCACCCATAGGGGTGAGAGGGGAATTTTTTATATATGGAAAGTAAAGGGGATGATGTATATAAGAAGTTATATGCAAGGAAAAGATAAGCCATGCAATCAATAGCAGAGATTTGCATTAAGAAAGTTCCCCCAATGCTTTTCTGTGACTTCTCACCCCATTTGCTAAGATATTTAAAAAAAAACAACAACAGAATTTTGGCCAATTTCTTAAGAATGGGAGTATGAGGATTTAGTGATAAGGTGTCCAAGGGATGAAAGTGTGAATGTTTTATCTTCTGGTTTACGGTCCCCTCTCCAGAGTTCTCCAGCATCTTTCACTTCCACCCCTTCCAGTCCCAGAGAAGGCAAATTATGGTACCAGCTGTCACTATTTAAGGGGTAATCCTTCCACTGAAAAATATTTGGAGAGTTTCTTTTCCTGGAGATACTGTATCATCCACCCCATACAGTATCTCTTTCCACACTGTTGGTGGGGAAGTTCTAATGGTTGATGTTCTAATGCTAATGTTGAGCATCTCTTTCCTTTGGGAGAAGACCTTGGACCTGATCCTATCCCGAAGAATGCAAAGGGTTCTTGGAGGGAGGGTTGTGCTCCAGACACTGTTCACTGATGTTTTCAGTCTAGATTATGGAGTGAAACTGGAGTGGGGAAGAGCAAAAGGCCTCAACCAGCAGAATTTCAAGAAATGTGTCTTCCCTGATCTTGGAATAATCATGAAGCTTCATCAAAACCCTGAGCTATTCAGAAGATGAAAAAAAAATGCTTTGAATGGTGAACCTCCCTCGGCCATAGAGAATCTGATTAACCCGGGACACAAGAACAGTCATGGCAATTGCATATCTTAGCCACCTCTTCACCTGAAGAAGCAGAAGGTGGCTCACGGCAATGAATACTGTTTAACCTAAATTTCCAAAAGGTTACATGAAATTGCAGCAGCAGCAGCTTTGTACTGTCTGGCATAGCTGTCACAGAGGTTCCTTTTTTATACCCTAGAGTCCCCAAACTGTGTCTATATTTGATGTCTGGTAGACAAGGTGCTTCCATGCCAAGCTCAAATACAAAGTTCAAGGGCATGTAAAAGCCTCCCCTAAGGCAATGCAAACATCAACCTGAGGTTCCGACTCAGAGCTGAAGAAGGATTCCCACTGTTAGTGAGAAACCCACAATTTGTTCATCAACCAGAAAAGCGAGCTTCATAATCTTTGCAACCCATAGCAATGACCGAAACAAGACTGCTATTAAAATTAGATCCATGTCCACAAGTCTCTAACCTGCAAGCCTCCTGCCCCCACCACTGTGTGATTTGATCCAAACCTGCTGGGGAATCATTATTGCCCGTACAACCATCAGATAATTAATTAAACCCCTACAAACAGGTCAGATCCAGGGCCAGAAGCAAGCATTTCTGTTGCAGAACCTTCACTGCCTGTTTTTTTTTTTTCCTGGAGATGGCAACATTAAGAGTAATAATAACAACTGGAAAACAAAATGATAATTATGATGATACTGTTTATTTACTTCCTTGCTCATTTACAAAAAAAAGCAGTTAATCTCAGTGGATAGCTCGATCATTAGTGCAAATTAATGCAGCTTGGTTGCACAGCCTGCATTTATTGGAAGAAATTAATTCTTTCAAAAGGAAAGGAAAGAAAGTCAGGCAGGAGCACATTCTCCCAGATGTTGAAATGCTCATGCAATTTGGACCATGACTTTGCATGGTTATATTTTTCGGTCTGTCTGTCTCTCTCTCCTTCCAGCATGTTTTCTGCTGTGTTTGATCTTTTCGGCTCATGGGAAGAAATACCCAAAATGACACCTAAAGGAAATATATGTCCGAACCAGAAACACAAGAAATGACCTTATACCAGATCATCCCATTATTCATTTATTCTCATGTTATTAGCACTCTCCAGATTTTTTCCCCCCAACCCTATCTGGAGAACGTAGAGGATTTGAACCTCATCAATTCTGTCTTCTGTTCAGTGCGTGGTTTTTTTTGTTTTTACTGACCATATCATTCCAAGTGTACCTGCCAATTCAAAACTGGGGTTACCTTTTAACCGAAAAGAAAAAAGGAAAGGAAAGACACCAACAACATCATTTATTTTTGATTTTGATTTTGTTTTTTTTTTTCTTCCAACAAATCAAGGCAGCTCCCTATCACGTAGGAATACACGAACGGGAAGAGGAAATTGGAAGGATGTGCATATGCTGGAAATCATTTCAAAATATATTTATGGACATTTCAAAACAATTCACGGAGCCAAAAATCAAGGAAAGGAGGAAGCTATGACTGTTCACATATGAAATCAGAGAAAGTGGGGAGAGGCTCCTTCCTTCCTTCCTTCCTTCCTTCCTTCCTTCCTTCCTTCCTTCCTTCCTTCC